CATAGACAGCCCACTTTTCGGCCGCCGAGACCTGTAAATTTGCCTCCCTTTCACCCTCGAACACTCATGGCTGATTCGATACTCGAAAATGCAAGGAGATGATGAAAAGAGTCCAATTTGGACTCCGCGAAGTATCACATGTAAAGAAAGTGAAAGGAAAGATTTAACATGAGTAATTCAAGGTTGTCGTGAAGCAAATTGACCAATAAAGAGGCAGTGAGCAGACATGGATTCATCTAATTTTAAAACATGCGGCAACAATACAAAACACATAGAAAGATATGAATTAATTGAACAACTACTACCACATAGGAGAAAATTTAATGAAGCTAACATGTTAATTACAAAATACATCTTCTATCCCAGTTGAATTCCAAACAAATTTGTGATCTTCACATTCAACACAACATAAACTAGCCAATATGCAATGTTATCACAAATGGATACATAGTTACTGCTGATAAGTTGAGGAAAACAACCTAACTTACTCAAAATAAACATTTGTGTAATTAACTGAAAATTTCAATGAAGCTCATACCAGAACTCTTGAAAGTAGATTAAATAACCATCTAAGACTTTAAGGCAAAAAAAATGGAGCATAGCATTGGAAAAAGAATTCATTCAACCAGTGTTATATTCTAGGTGTTTTGATGATCCTCACAAATGCAGGGATCCGGTCCTTGGTAGAGTGCTCTCGTCATGTTTTAAAATGGGGTACAGCTGCAAAGCTGTCTTGTTAGGTTGGTTGGTGAAAAGTGCAGCGTACTACACCAATAGAAAGGGTGGACGAGGTTGCTTGTTTCAGTGGTCCTTTGATCACTGGTGGACGCATACATTCCAACAATCAGCACAAATAAATTATAATGCAAGGACACTATTTATATAATTGAGATTTCTCATTTATTCATGACACAAAGCACAAACCACTTTCTGAACATAACCATCAGAGAAAACGAGGTCCAATTCTAAGGCAGCAATAATAACCCAAGAACAAGATAAGATTTAACTAGTAAATAAGGACAAATTGTTGAATCGGGTATAACTATGGTAGAACAAAGGTTATGCCAAGACAACAATTTATAACTTCTAAGCATAAGGTTAATATTTTCATGACTCAAGCTAGTAAGAAGTCAACTCTTTTAACGCAAAAAATCAAGAATCGAAGCCTAAGCATAGCAATAGTCGGGCTTGAATAGTAAATAGAAACGAAAATATAAGTCTTGGCACAAAAATTAACTATGTAGCTATGTTACAAACAGTAAACGAAAATACAAACAAAATCATAAACAAACACATATTTGATGCATACTACTGGAATGAAACATATTACCTTCTTCGGTGCAGCGGAACTGAACTGAGACGAGAACGAGCTAACTAAACTTAGCAACAAACCAAAACGACTCGAGACAGCCCACTCTCTCTTTGGCTATCAGAAACGTGTATTTTGAATGAAAATTTTACAAATCAAGTTCGTTTCTTCCAGACCTCTAATTTTTCTGCCTCCCAAGAATCTATCTCGACAACAGGGTATATATAGGGGGGAAAATGGGAATTGAAAAAGGGGAAACGGATGAGGCTCGGAAGAATTTTGAAATTCGAAATTCGAATTCCTTTTAATAGATAAGGTTTGAGAAGCTGTCAAATAGTATCAATTCTCAACTCAACGCATCCGTTGATTTCTGAGCAAAGGACAAAGGATCAACACGATTTTCACACCTGTAAATTCGAGAATGCGAAGGATAAGGTAGAGAGAAGAGGAGGATGCGCTATGGGTTTTTTTCCGGGTATGGTTTGCTGGGTTTGCAGCGAGAGAGAGAAGAGGAAGACATATACTGTATTTCTTCTTGTTTTATTGGATATTTTTGTGAAGAGAATTGTCTGTTTTGTAATTGTTGTTGGGCAGAGAATTGGAATTTGAGAACGTAAAATTGGAGGTAAGGATTGACTAAAATTGAAATTAAGGACTTAGCCAAATTGATCAAATTCAGTAAATACAATGAATTAGTATTGATTAATTAGTGAGCTTCTTAATCTTGATAAAATAAAATAATTAAATTAAATATAAACTATTAATTCATTCAACAAATATAAACTATAATTTGAAAAATATTTTCCAAACATTTAAGCCATTCAAACATGAAAAAATTAAAAAACATTTTTAGAAAATGTTATCCTCCGTACCAAACACATCCTAAGACTGCCTTTATTCTCAACATAACACACTAACAAAGACAGATTCTAGTCTTCCTGACAGTTAATATCATTTTAAAGTTCTGGATTTAAAATTAAAATGATCCTTAAAACAACAAATTTGAACATCAATTGTGAGTCCTTTATGTATATATATATAATTGTGGTGTCAAGTCAGCCACCTCAACTATATCTATGCTAAGTTGCTCGGATTCGGGTGTCCAATACGGGTGCGGATCTAAAGGTCAGATCCTTAAACGTCAAGCATACAACAACAACAACATATTAAGTACTCAATGTAATCTCATAGGTGGAATTAGAGGAGGATAGAGTGTACACCGACCTTACCCCTACTTCATGTAGGCATAGAGATTGTTTTCGAAAGACAATTAAATGTGAAGCATATAATATTAAGGGAAAATTGTCTGATATACCCCTCAACTTTGTCATTTAGAGCCGATATACCCTTCGTTATGAAATTGACTCATATATACGTTTTACTTGTATACAAATGACTCACATATACCCTTTTCCTCTAACAGAAGTGAAAAAATTCATTTTAATTTAATTTTTGATTATTTTTTTGAAAAAAAAAATCATACGGCATATATTTGATCCTCCTCTCATGTATTTTTTTTTACCTTTTTATTTCAACAACTAATTTAAATTTATTATTTTGATGGTCAAATTTATTTATGTTTCACTAATTTTCTTGTAAAATTTATTATAGACGCCCCATTATTTTATTTTATTTATACAAATACAAAAACTAAATTACAATATAACCACAAAAAAAAATAGTTTTAAATTTTTTCTTTACACTAAAAACGAAACGAAAGAAAAAAAAGTATAAGAAACTCGAATAATGCTAATAAAAGAAGTCAAAAAATAATATTTGTATTAAAAATATTGAAATATACATTGAACTTATGATATATATATATATATATATATATATCCCTACATGATTTTTTTTAAATTTAAAGTAAAAATAAATAAATTTAAAACTATTTTTTTCACTTATGTTAGATGAAGGGTAGATGTGAGCTCTTTTTGTAACGGCAAGGATATATTAAGTCATTTGTATAACGTTAAGGTATATATGAACCACTTTGATACGAGGTGTATATCAGTTCTAAATGACAAAGTTAAGGGTATATTAGACCATTTTCCCTAATATTAATTGCCTTGTTTCACAAACAAAACATGAATCACTCCATATTCATCAATTCACAACAAATTACATAAAAATAAATGTTGATAAGACTGCGTACAATAGACCTTGTAGTCCAGCCCCTCCCCGAATCCGGCACAATGAAAGTTTAGTGCACCAGACTATCCTTTTAGTACATGAAGACAATTGCTATTTTTATCTTTTGAACAGCCAAAATTTAGCAAGCATATTGTAACCTCCACAATTCTATAATACACAATATTACTAGTTGTACCATCAATTTTTTTCTCAAGAAAACCAAAGGTGGAGAATATTGGTTATATGAAAAATAATACATCCCTTATTCGGTGTATAGACAGTTATTTTTTGAGCATAGGTTTAGGTTCGGCCTCAATTAAAAAATAAAATGATGCACTTAACAAGAGAAATTTCATAGACCAAGAGTTACGTGATTCAAGTCATTTTTTGTCTTGACTCGAAAAGGAGGCAAGTTTGAAAAAGAATCTTAAAGTGTTTAGGGTTAGGCCACAAGGCTCAAGGCCTTCTTATTTCTTCTTATTAGAGTTGTTTCACAAAGATTTATCGGGGTAAGAAAAAAAGAGGACAAACACATTCAGAGCTCAATATAATGTAGAGTTGTATATTGTGTTCAAACTTCAAAGGATGAATGCTCCAAAAAGGAATATATAGATTCTCATAATACGCCTATATAATTGGTGAGAAAATTCACTGCAATTTAGTCAAATTGTTTTATAAATGCAACTTCACAAGTTATTGAAAAATTTATAGTTATTAATTAAATTAGATCAAATTGCCTTTGAACTATGTGAAATGAATAAAACTGTCTTCCGTTTGTAGTATGGTCCAAAAATATCTTTGCCGTCAACATTTTAGTCCAAAAATATTCTTATTGTTACCAAGATGCAATTTTCCCTAATAAACATATTATTTATTTTTTTGAACACATTCTTTGTCTAAATATTATTTTTATTAGCAAATGTTTTTCCTACTTTAATTAAAAAATAAAAAAAATTCTTATTTTATTATAATTATTTTTATTGTTATCTAAATAAAAATTAATGATGGATTTACTATGATCTTATATACCGGAGTTACGACAATATATTATTCGTTAAAGGAGTACATAAAGTTATTCTATTTTAATCGATAAAATGAGATTAAGAAGAAAAACGTATTTCCTAGGGGTGTCAAAAGAACATGAAAAACCGACCGAACCTACCAAACCAAACCTAACCGAACCAAACTGATTTATGTCATTTTTTTCAATAAAACCATGAACTTTTAAGTGTATAATCGTCCGGAATAATTGTGATGGTCTTTTTAATTTATGAAAAAACTGAAAAACTCTCTAACCAAACCGGGTCAGCGAAGGAAATAGGTTAAATGGGTGGATTTTAAAAGAATTGGATATTTAAAATTGGGGGTGAATTATTTGATTCATAAGTTGACATGTGTCCCTCTGTTAAAATTTGGGGTATATATGTGCCAAGTATGATGGTAGGGATATATTTGAACCGAAAATATAACGAAGGTATATTTAAACTATTTGCTATACTACCCGGGTATATTTGACCCTTTGCCGAAATCCCAAATTAAAACTGAATTGGTACTATTTCTCATCTTCTCGTTGGTCATCTAAAGCTTCACAACACTGAAAGAGAATAAGATTATGGGGTTCAAGAAGTGAGAATCTTAATCACCCCCAAAATGAAATTAACCCTTTAAAGATCCATGGTCCAGGTATTGTTGAGCAACAATCTTTATTTGGGTCAAGAAATTATGGGTCATTCTGAAATTTGTGTTAGAAGAGACCATATCCTCAGTGGATTTACATGGATGGCTCTAAGCTCACCTTCTTGTACACACATTGATGGGGTGAAAAAGCTAAAAGGTACTATTTTTCTTAGCCCCCTTCAATACCCTTTTACATTTAACTAGTGTTACAGCAATTAGTAAACTAGTTGAGGTTGATTATATATGGATTCTGCTCATTTTGGACTTGTTTCATCATAAAGGCTTCACCTTTGCTTAGACTTGTGGGTGGCTATGGTGAGCTGGGGAATCTTGCTCTGCTTTGTACTCCTATGTATTTTTTGCTTTGAAAATAATTAGTTACTGGGTGGCATGGGTTGGCCTAGTAGTCAATGAAGGGGTTGAGCACTATGAGGTCTCTGGTTCAAATCCCAGCGAAGACAAAACACTAGGTGATTTCTTCCAATCGGTTCTAGCCTTGGTGGACCAAGTTACCGATAGCAACATAGTTGCTGGTGGGAGGTGGTAGGTATCCCGTGTAAATAGTTGAGGTGTGTGCAAGCTGGTCCGGACACCACGTTTATCCCAAAAAAAAAGAATTAGTTAGTGGGTGTGATAAACTTTGAAGGTCTTGTAGTTGAAATGATATAGTAATTCTTTATTGAGAGTGTATTGACAAGTTCTTGATTGCCTTGGAATTCTCATTTGACATTTGTTTTTCATTACCCTTTTACATTTAACTAGCGTTACAATATTATTGAACTAGTTGAGGTCGATTATATATTGATTCTGCTCATTTGGACTCGTTCATCATTAAGACTTCACCTTTATTTAGACTTGTGGCTGGCTATGGTGAGTTGGGGTATCTTGCTCTGTGTCGGACTCTATACATTTTGCTTCTAAAAGAATTAGTTAGTGGGTGTGTCGGTGTGATAAACTTTGAAGGTCTAGTTGTTGAAACGATATAGTAATTCTTTCTTGAGAAGTTCTTGGTTGCTTTGAAATCTCATTTGACATTTGTTTTTCATTACCCTTTTATATTTAGCTAGCGTTACAAGTATTATTGAACTAGTTGAGTTCAATTATATATTGATTTTTGCTCAATTTGGAGTTGTTTCATCATAATCAACTAGTTTTATGTGGGTCGTTCTCCCCTTCAATTTGGACTTGGGGGTGGCTATGTGAGTTCTTGCTTTGTGGTGTATTCTATATATTTTGCTTCTAAAAGAATTAATTAGTGAGTTTGAAAACTTTGAAGGTCCAGCTGGCAAATTAGATAATCCTTTCTTGATAATTAGTTGGAAGTGTGAACAAGTTCTTTTTTTTTTTTGAAACCGTGATATTAGTTAAGAAGTAGTGTTCTTTTCACTGTACTGGAGTACATTTTGACTTGAATTCCCACTAATATTTTGGCTTATGTCACTGAAGGACTCAGATATAGGAATATGTCATCTCAAATTGTGGGGAAGTTCAGTCAAAATAATCAAGATATCTCACAAGAGTTCCAGCTTCCATCCGCATATGAATCTGCCATGGAAGCTCTTTCGACTCTCATTACTCAGAAAAAAAGAAATGGCACATCAGCCATTAGTGGTCCAAACCAGAAATTGGACAGAATGTTAAGGTACATTAAGGTAGTGCCATTTCTAGCTGAGACTGTTTCTCCTTTATACTTGCATCAAAGTGCTTCTTGCTGGTATTGGTCTTGCCTTTCTGTTTATGTCACAAACTTATTGAAATAACGAAATTAGTGTTGTCGCTGTAACTTTTGACAACTGTTTCCAGAATACGCAGCATATGGTTGTAATTTTTTTCCTACTTTGGTATTACTACGACTTTTGTGAGTTGTGATTCAATTAAACTTCATTGTTCCTTGATTTCTATGTTTTGGGGAATGTGTTGAATCCAGTTTTAGCTTAAAAATTATCTTTTGCTAGGAACATGTCTATACATGATTCTGAGAATACATAAGATGCACCTTTTTCTTTGGTAAATTAGATAATTTCATTAATCATAGCACTAAGTGGTCATCAAAAGTGCATATAGGAACAATGGATTTACACTCCAACGTACAAGGATTTAAGAAATTTAGAGTAGCATCAAAGCCATATAGAATCTTCAATTTTACACAAAAAAACTCAAAGACCGAAATAATAAAAATTTCAGACGGGAGTTGCTCTTGCTTTTCATTTTTCTTCAAAATATTTGCTATTTTTCTTCAGCCGAAGAGTCCATATATGCGCACACCAGGTGTTTACCACGTTGTTCCTAGCTGCTTCTTTCTTCTGTACTTCCCAACTTCGAAAAGTCTTAATTAGTGATTTTGGCATAACCTGCTGCACTCCGAGAACTATTGAGGAATAAGCATCAGGACTGCCATGTCTTGCTGCAATTTAGAAAAAGTTATTTGGGGGACTTGGTGCACATTCACACGTGTAGGATCAGTTGCAAAGGAAGTAATCTTTGTGTCTAGACATGTTTACTGCATAGCGAACCATCTAAAGCAGGTTGCTTTATGGGGTGGGGGCTTTTGTCTTCGGAATAATTTTAGGCCTCTGTATTACTCTCTTCTCTGCTTTAATAAACAATTATTACAAGGCATTTTAAACTTCCCTTCATTCTTCATTTTCTTGTACAAGGTGTTGCCTCAGAAGATGTAGTTTCTTATTCTCACACCTTTAGAAGAAGCAGTGACACTCTCTTAATCTCCCACTCCTTAAGATTTCTTGTGATGTTAATTTGCCACCCGTTTTCATCTCTGCTATCTGCAGTTATGGCAAATTTTTCAATTCCAAATATGTAAATCTGGAATTTATTCTTTGAGAGCGCAGTGCGCTCTATCCACAGTTCTTGGCATAGTCTTATCTTGTTTTCCGTTGCTCCCTTCGGCCTTACTAAATAATGAAATTCTGTACGGTAGTTACTAATTAGTTTCCATATTGCTACTCATAGAAGGTATTTAAGATGCACTTGATAATGGTTTGATAACATGTACCTTATGCTTGTCTTAATAATGTCACGACCCAAAAACGGGTGTGATGGCACTAGTCTTATCCCACCAAGGCAAGTCAGCCTAAAACCCAACTTAAGAGATAAATGCGGAAGTCAATCAGAATAAAAGACTAACATAATTTCAACAATGCAGATAACATAACTCCACTCATTATAACCCAAAACATGGTCACATGTCCAAGCCTCTAAGTATTACATTAGATTCAAAGAAGTAAAAGTATGAATGTCTTTGTTTCTAGAATAGAACAAGAACATATTAAAAGAGTAAGAGGTATCCATCGAGATGCCAAGAAGCTACCTCACAATCTCTCCAATTGTAGCCACGGACATAGAAGAGAAAAAGAAGTAATCATGATGATCTGACTCAATGGAACCATAGAAACACGGATCCGAGGTCTCCTTGACCCGAAATTCGTGAAAGTCGCAACAAACTAACTTAACACTCAAAAATACCAAACTGCCCTCGGAACCTCTGTAAATTCAACCAAGACCACATCTAGGCATAAAATCGTCTCCCAAATTCGATGAAATCAGAATTCCGATCTGAGGATCCGAACTCCAAATGTTGATCAAAGTCAACTCATAGTCTAAATTCACTTAAACTTCCAACTCAAGGTCTCAAATCCACGAAACAACTCCCAAACAGAAAATGACAACACTTCTAGACCAAATTTCACATTTCGGAGCTGATGGAACTGGCGAAATTCCATCCGGGACTCGTACCTCCGGTTGTTGCCAAAAATCACTTTTAAAAACTTTGAACCTTCCAAAACTCAAAAATTCCAAAAACTATAATTCTTCAATCAACTGATCAAAATGACTTGGGGAAACTAACTGGAGGGGTAAAACGGTAATTTTTTGAAAATTTCCAAAAATGACCTTCAGGGTCATTACAAATAACCTCATCATGAGAGCTTGTTGCCATGGCAGAAGAAAACTGATGCATTAGAGACCTTCCCTGATTATGGAGTCTTATCCACAAAATCTCAATATAGAGATTTAATTAACAGATATTTATCACAAAGTTCTTAGTTACAACCAGGCAATGATTGATGGAGGTATATATATATATATATGGGTGTCGGTGTTCAACTATGCTTCGTGCCATTGAGATTAGAAATTAGTGCAGTTTGCCCGAATCAACTAGTTGAATGCAATCAACTTGCACTTGAAACCACAAAAAAGTTAATAGTCAATTTCATTACCAATTTTGGGGAATTAGGATGTTTTTAGTACAAGAGGCCTAAAGATTAATGAAATGGGTCAAAATCATGGGAGACCGACTACTTTACTTATCAAAAAGAAAAAGAAAAAGAAAGAGAACCAGAGTTTAATTGGAGCAGAGACAAAAAACGCAAGGGGATTTCTTCCCAGCTGCCTAAAGCGGTGGTGGGTGAAGTTACCTGTATCTGTGTACCATTGGTTATCTGTTAGCAGTTATTAGTTTGGAACTTCATATCTTTCAAATTACAAGAATGCTGGTCCTTAAATATATTTTGAAAAAAGGCAAGCCTAATAAGGTGTTGTATTTTTTTGTTGCAGATTTTGGGCTTGGAAGAAAAGATAGCTGACCTTAAGATTATCCATGTAGCTGGAACGAAAGGAAAGGTATCTAATAGTTGATGTTATGATTAATGTGGAAATCCAGTTATCTTCTCATTGAGAGCTCGAAGGATGTCTATTTCTCCTGGACCTTCATTTTTCTTCTTCTTTTTGAACCTGTTCTTTTCTGTAACGTTTGATCCAAGTCATCCCCAGTTTGCTCTTTGATGGTTAAGTTGCTAACTTATACTGCATGTCTGTACATCTTTATGGTAACCTGTCAGTTTCCAGGATTTCAACAGTAATAAGTGTTGGTGTACACATGATGTGTATATGACAAATACTATGCATAGCTAAGTGAATTTGATACTCCTTGAGTATGTATGTTTGTCTTCTGATGTTGGGATTTACTCAACTCCAAAAGTTAGTTCATGAGGTAAGGATTACCTAAGACCACTCTCAATCAAACGTGGCACAATATAACATAGGGCCTACTAGTGGCTTAACTAAGAACAATGTTGGGCTTGCGTTTGATACAATGATCAAGATATTGACATTGGGCACAATTCAACCTTAGAAGTTAAGATCATGTGGCGAACATTGTCCAATGCTATATAAAGAGACCAACGTCCCTACCCTAAAGGTCTCAACCGTTGTTGGGATCTAACATCTTCCACTAATTGGCTGCAATTGTCCAGCATCTAACATTCACCTGTAGCCTAGAACAAGTGCAAAATGGAATAGCTTTTCTAGAGAAGGTATGACTTCTCACCATTCGGGGTGGCCCAATGGTTTGGGCTTGTGACTTCCATGTTGGAGGTCTCAAGTTCGAAACCCCTTGCCAGCGAAAGCAAGGGGTTTGCCTTCTGGGTCAAGCTCGTCGCACCAGGGCTTTCCTACTGTGGGTTACCTCTCTTGTCTGGTCTGCGAGCTATTGCATAAGAGTGGGGTTTTTACCCTGTGCGCACCCAAAGGGTAGCGGCTGAGGGTTTCCCTTGTCATGAAAAAAGAAGAAGTTATGATGTCTCACATTCTTTCAATTTTTGATTGGAAAATTAATCCATGTCGTACTTGATTGCAATTAATGATACTTCCAAAGTGCAAGAGTTCTCTAGTTTCATTCCTATATTGTTTTTCTTCATGTCTACAATTCATTTTAGGGTTCAACATGTGCATTCTCTGAAGCAATTTTACGGGAGTGTGGTTTCAGAACAGGACTTTTCACTTCGCCGCATTTGATCGATGTTAGAGAAAGATACCGTCTTGATGGGTGCGTATTCTTGTTACTGAATTTTCCCTACTTTTGTTTATTAGAGCATCTTCAGTATCTGTGCTACTTAATTGGGGGGAGTTCCCGTGTATTGAAAAGTTGGATGAGAAGAAAAGGCATGGAAGAAAACTTGATGGATGGAAGCAAGTTTCTTCACTTTAATAAAATAAAATGGGAGGATTTCAATCTTTTCCTTTTCATGGACTTCAATACTTTCTCGCTGACCATGCAGACGACTCTAGGTAACAGTTGTGATTTTCCACCCTCATTTCACTTTTCATATAGGAGTTAAAACCAATACTTTGGGTGTTCTTTTCTCGTTCATCATCCTACTAAGTGCACCCAGTGAGGTTTTTGTAGAACACAATCAACAGATAGGGAATAACTCAATAGCCTGTCGATTTTAAATGGTACTTGGTATGTCTTGAAGTACACAAGGGATCCCTACTCAAATTTCAAATTGAGCTTCATTGATGTTAATTGGTTATTTTTATGTGATTGATATCTTTCCTATATTTGATTGTAGTTGAATTATTGATGACATTTCTCATTCCATTCAACGTGTTGCTTAGGATGGACATATGCCAGGAAAATTTTCTTCAATACTTTTGGGATTGTTGGAATCAGCTCAAGGTATTCTTTCATTTTCGGCTCTGTGCTGGATGACAAGATGCCTCTATCTAATTATGGTAGTGGATCTTCCGAGTTACCTTGACTACATGTCAGTTGGTTCTCTTTTTCACGTTTATGTAGTGTTATGTATTTTTTCTAGTTCAAAGATGAAGACGTTCTTTGTCATTATAATTCAAGATTGCAGTGGGATTATACTAGTTACAGCATATTGGAAAAATCATGTTAATGCTAGAGATGTCTAGATTTTTGTAATTTTATTGGTTCACTTTTTTAATAGGAATCCTTCATTTGCTTGATCTAACATCTCCCGACTTCATCATTCGTTGATATGCACTGTCCAATATAGTACAATATGACTTACTTTAACTCATGCTAGGAAGTTCTTTTACTTTGTTTTAATGGTTTGTGTTGGATGAGAGTAAAATATAATTCTCTCATGCTAGGAGTAATCTGCATTCAGTAAAACTTTTGATGGTTAGTTTTTACTCATCCCAGAAATGTTAATTTGCAGGCGAACATCTCTGAAGACTTGCCTATGCCTCCTCTCTTCCAGTTCCTTACTGTATTGGCTTTCAAATTTTTTGTGAGTGAGAAGGTAGAAACCTTTCCCTCTATTTTGCTTGATTTGGATATGCCTTCAGTGTGTAATTTGAAGTTCCATTGATAAGGTTTTGTTTGGCTTTTGGTGTTTATCTTCTCTTTTTGAAGATGTGCTTGAAAGCTGTCTACAGTTCATAGCTGGTGGCATTTCCATATGAGAATACTGATGTTGCTCTCAAAAATGATTGCCGTAGGAAAACCAGAACCTGAAATAAAATTATTGAAGCAACAAAGACCAAGTTATGAGTCCTGGAGCTAATCTTTCTTTTCTACGATGTGCTTGGAAGTTGTGTACAATTCGTGTCTGGTGGCATTATCATATGACATACTGATATTGCTCTCCAATACCATGGCCATAAGAAACCAACCTTCTCCAAAAATAATATCATGGCCATAGAAAAATCAGTACCCGGAACAAAATTACTAAGGAATAAGACTAATTCATCCTCTGACCTTGACTTCCTGATTGGATATTATTACCTCACAAATATTTACTTTGACAAGGCGTTGGATCTTCATTGTGTAATGATTACCCAGACACTGATTACTGCTAGATGAGAACTTACAATACCTTTTAAACTCTCCTTGATTTTGTAAGCCATCTTGATAGTGTTAGGGCTGTACAAGTATTGGTTCATATCATAAATACTCAAGCTTTGAAATGATATGGGATAAGTCAAGCTAAAATCAAGAACTTTCTCTTTTCGATTAGAGATAGGAGAGCTTTTGAGGGGATTAGCTTTTTTTAAGTAGCTTATAAGCTAAAAGCTAAAAGTCATAAGTTGGTCCTACCCAACTTTTGGATTTTAGATTACTTTTGTACCTTTTTGACCTAAAAGCAAGTGCTTAAAAGCATTTAGTCTTTCCCAAACACCTCCAAAATAAAAAAGAGCTAAAAGCCAAAAGCTACTTAAAATAAGCCAATCCAAACACCCTCTAAGAATGATTTTGTACATTTGAGGAATAACCTTTTGTCTTTGATTGCTTTTTTGGTGCACCCTTGAGATTCCTACCTGTATAGATGATTAGGTGTCTTTCATGGATAATCATGTTTAATTGTAGATTCTCTACTTTTGGTATACCTCTAATATATGAGTGCCACCATTAATAATATTATTTACTTTATTAAAAAAATTATTCTCAATTGCACCCGAAATCTGTAATCTATATTTTGGGTTTTCCAACAAGAACAAAACAAGTGGACCTCAACCATTATGTAACAAGACTTGCTATACATGCACAGGTTGATGTTGCCATCATTGAAGTTGGTCTCGGAGGAAAACTAGATTCTACGAATGTGGTAATGCATCTTATTGGGTATTCATGTTGCTCCTACATATAATACATGCAAGGTAGCATGGACGTTGGAGAAATCTTTTCTGCTCTTTGTTGGGAAATAATATGTTGAGCCTCGGCATTGATGAGCATGCAACTAATTGATAAAATAATTTTGCAGATCAAGGAACCTGTTGTCTGTGGTATTACTTCTCTGGGCATGGATCACATGGAGACTTTAGGTGTGGCCTTCTGTCCTCTATAGACTTGTTTGTTACTTTCTATATGATGTTAGAAATAAAACAAGGAGAAGAGGTTCACAAAATGCGTGAATACTAATTTAATCCTTTTATGACACACTTTACTAGGTAGATAGCTATATTATGCTCGGCTAGACACCAATATTCTATTAGTACGAGTATTAAATATGAAATACTATTTACATTCAATTGGTGTTGCTAACCCTAAAATGAATATTAAATGTCTCTAATTTATAACAACTTAAATTTTTAGTTGAGACGGTTCATGTCTATTCTAAAAATGTCTAATAAAAGCATACACAAGGCAGAAGCATGGGTTCATAAGCACTCAGCAGCTTCAACTTAGATATGCTATTTAATGGGCTGAGTAGTGTGAACATCTCATCTAAAAGTGTAAGTTGTTAGAGATGACACACCTTTTTGGGACCTGATTCTTTTTCTTGGGATAAGCACGCGAAAATTCTTTTTAATAATGGCTTTGCTGGATGGCTACCAGAGCACCTTTTTGACATTACTTGTTTATCTGCCAACTATTATGCGTAGGAGATACGCTAGGCCAGATTGCTTCTCACAAGGCCGGAATTCTCAAGGTACTTTCTTTAATGCAATTTCGAAAGTGTGATATGTTTTTGTTTATAGTGGATTGTTTATGGCAAAATCCTGCCCATATCTTGAGCTGGCAGTTATATCATGAAATAATTTCTGAATTGGCTTGTTTTTCCTGCTCGTGAAGCCTCAAATTCCTGCATTCAGTGTACCACAACTTTCTGAAGCAATGGAAGTTCTTCAAGAAAGGGCCGATGCATTGATGGTAATCTACTGTAACATTACCTATTGGATATCTGAGGCTAGTGACTAATGTTTATTTACCTTTAAATTCATGTCTTAAGATCACCCCTTTTTGCGAAACTCAATTAAGTTTCTTACACATAGGCAGTTTTTATTGATGTAATATATTCTTTACCGGTTTACCCATAATCCCATAATTTGAATGGGTCTAAAATATTTCCATGAGCAGAAGAATCATATGATTTGAAAAGTGACTATCATTTGTGTCCTATGGAAAGCAAGTTTCACTAATCTTTGAGTGTTTCTGTATCGCCAAAATGTCATTTCCTTGCATGTATATATGGCTCTACATGGACTCACATATTATAACTAGATGCAGAAAACAGTCATATAATCTCAGGAAAGATCTAGGTTATCTATTAACAAATTGAACCATTCATCATGTAACTATGTTGTATGTAACTGTACAATGAGACAAAGAATAGCGAACTGAGATAAACTCAGGCTAATCTTTCCCTCAAGCTATTGGGTTTAAATAGTGAGTGTACAAGTGTTAGAGAGAGTATTCTGAATTCCCAATTACTAGAAAGAATTCCAATCTAATTAATTCTGACTAATTTACAATATTCTTAACACTGGCTGCTATCCTCTCTTTCGGTAATGATATACCAATTCGATCTGAGCTCTTGGAATTGGAACAAATTTAACAGCAGATCGCTAAATCTTGGTGATCTTCTCTCTTATGAATGGCGAAGTCCGCTTTAAAATCGTTCGCCCGTAAGCCAACAGATAAAGTACATTACATAGTCCAGGGATTGGTGACTTACCCATTCAGTGCCAAGGCACTGAACGTTCCCAAAATGGGATCTACAATGTACGTATCGACACAGAGATTTCTAAAATTCTATCTCTGTTTCCATGCAGATTCCGCTGAAAGTTGTCGCACCACTAACCTTGGAAAAGTTAAATGGAACAAGGCTAAGCTTGTCTGGTGATCACCAGCTCAGTAATGCTGCCCTTGCTGTATCCCTTTGTAAAAGTTGGCTTAGAAGTACAGGGAACTGGAAAAGGCTGTTTGAAGATGTTGGTACTCTCTTTTTTCTCTCCTCTGTATTACTCTGTGCATATGGGAATCACATTTTAACATATCAACCAATATTCATGATTTTTCCAGACAAGTATTAATATCAATAAAGCCTGTGATTTTTGAGTTTTAATTATTCTGTGATGATAGAACTTAAACTTCGTTGCTCATTAATAATTATGAGTTTGTGGATCTATATTGCATTCAGGAAATTACAGGGAGGCAGCTCATAGGAAAATGCCTGTAGTGATTCCTCTCCTTCAAAATTGAGAGAACCACGAAGCATATTGTGCTGACTATCTTAATAGTTGGTATTTAATTGGCCCACATTGGTTGAGGGAATGAATGCTTGTTTCCTTATATGGTCTTGGGCAATCATCACTTCATGAGTTAGATTTTGTTATTGAGTTAAGCCCAAGGTCCATTATTTTAATATTGTATAAAAGGTTGAAGAGTTTATTCAGGTAAAATAACGAGATTAGTTGTTGTCTCCTTATATGGTCTTGGACAATCCCTATCTCATGAGCTAGTTTGTAGGGTTGAGTTGGGCTTAAGGTCCGTCTTCTTATCAGTTAGGTTAGTCCAAAGAATAAGCTCTATGGCTAGTGGATTGGTTAGATGAGAGTTGGCATATGGCGTACTCAGCTTTTCCTTTGAATTTCTTCAAAGAGGTTATATCCATGTCTCGTATCTGCGAATTTTACTGGTCACTATAGAAGCAATTATATCTGCGGGAGGCTCCCGTCAAGAATAATTAAAAATAATGTGTATGACAATCTTAATGATTATGTTCTATTTATTAGAATCTCAAGAATTAGGAATTGTGCGTGACTCATGTAACTTGAAAATCCGATATACTAAGTCATTTAACTACCAAAAATGGACTAGAGTTTTTCTTTCTTCTTTTATCTTTTCTGCATGCAATTGTTGAGACTCCAAAGTAAGGTTTTGGCTTGATAGCATGCGGCTGCAAATATTTACCCAAGTTGTATTTATTGTGACTCACCGGCCAAATCATTAAATCCCACTTTGCCAGTTTTTAGTGGATGTGGGAATTCCAATGACTTACATCTTTCAAACTAGACTTCAATTTAAATAGTTGTCAGTTTTTAGTGGAAGTATTTCCAACTGCAATACTTCTGCATGGTTTCAGATTTGCTGGTTTCTCATAGCACTTCTAATAAAAAATTATGGTGAGGACAAGACAGGGTATGTAGAGTGCAAATTCAATGATGCGAGGCATGACGTAGGTGTGGAAGTGAGGCTCGACACACGAAATATCCTCAGGAGTGACAGATTCAAGTACCTTGGGTCTATAATTTGGGGGAGTGGGGACATCGACGATGATATCACACATCGTATTGGTGCGGCGTGTTGGCCAGTCAAAACCTCCCATGTCCAGAAGATGGATGTTGCCGAGATGAGGTGCTGAGGTGGATGTGTGGTCATTCTAGGAGCGATAAGATTAGAAATGAGGATATTCGGAATAAGGTAGGAGTGGGGTAGATGTGTGGTCATACTAGGAGTGATAAGATTAGAAAGAGGATATTTGGAATAAGGTGGGAGTGACCTCTGTGGTGGACAAGATGAGGGAAGCGTGATTGAGATGGTTTGGACATGTGAAGAGGAGATGCGCTCTAGTGAGGAGGTACGAGAGGTTGGATATAGAGGGTACGAGGAAAGGAAGAGGTAGGGCAAAGAAGTATTGGGGCGAGGTGATAAGACAAGATATGACCCAACTTCAAATACCGAAGACATGACCTTAGATAGGGGGGTGAGGGTGTGGATGATGTATTAGGTTAGAAGGTAGAAAGTAGTGTAGTATTGTCTCGCTTGTGGTGGTTGGTGTTTGTTATTGTACTAGTGGTATTATTGTAGTTTTGTTTTTGGTATTTCTCTATGTTTATAATTGTTTATAATGATCTATCCTAGTACGTTGTTTAGTGTTTTTCGACTATTGCACTATTTTATTGTTGTTTTGCTTCTTTCTAGTAGACTTTGCACTACTTACGTGTTACTTGCTATATTTTCTTCACTGTCCCCTTCTTTGTACCTGGATTTGTTGCCGAGGGTCTTTCGGAAACTGCCTCTCTACCTCCACGAAGTAGTGGTAAGGTCTGCATATATTTCATCCTCCCTAGATCCCACTTGTGGGATTTCACTGGGTAAGTTGTTGTTGTTGGTGGTGTGGACAGCCTATAGTTTAAAGGCTATTAAATTTTCCTAGAAATATGGATGTTCCTTCATATTATGCACCGATCAGAAGATAATTGTATGTTTGCACCTCCACCTTCTTGGTCTCTTGTAATTTTCCTAAAACATCATGATGATACGTGTTCTCTTTTCTCATCTAAGCTGGCCCTCTTTCTTTAACAGTGTTACTGTAGCTCATCTTGCCATATAATGGAGGGGTATTTTATTAGTCAAAGTGGCTTAAGAAGAGAGATATACACTTCTTTTACTCTTATGTTAGCTGGCTCTATTATGACACTGCTTGAGCTTTTCTTGGCATCAAAACAGGCATATGAGGAAAATAGTCTACCAGAGCAATTCCTGAGGGGTCTCTCAGCTGCACGTCTTTCTGGCAGGGCTCAGATTGTTGTTGACCCTCTGATCAATGCATCTGGAGGAAATAAAAGGTTATCAGGAGGTTTGACCTTCTACCTCGATGGAGCTCACAGTCCTGAGAGCATGGATGCTTGCGCAAGATGGTTTTCTGCTGCTGCGGTTGAACGAAAAGACCTGTCACTTTCATCAGTTTCCTCAGAAGTTGAAACGATGGACAGAGCTTGGACAAACGGTAACATCAAACATTGTAATAACCAGGAGTCAGAGGAAATATTGAAGCGGGTAAAAGAAACTTTATGATACATGATATTTAGTTCTTCTGCATATTATAAAATCTTATGCTATTGTGCTTCTCTTTCCTCTAGTTCCTATCTTTGTTGAGTCGTGTGCTTTCTGAATAACATGGTCTCTGTACTGCAGATTTTGTTATTCAACTGCATGGATGTAAGAGATCCTCAAATTCTTCTTCCTAAGCTTGTCGATACCTGTGCATCATCAGGTAGTGAACAAAGATAATCATGCAGCAATTTGTTGTTGTCATCAATGTTTGCCTCTGCAGACTGGGAATTGCATTCCATGTGGGTTCTTTGAGACTAGAAGAGATGGCACAAGTGATATGCTCCTTTTATGTTCCATTTATTCAGTATACTATGAACCACATGTTTGCTTGTTTGTGTAGAAATCTACTTTGTTCCTCGCACAGAATCATAGCTGATATACAATTGTGTTCTTTCTACTAGGAATAACATACTAAAGCTTTGCTCATTATCTAGTGTGCTTGAAGGAAAAAATGTAGCTCAGAAATGAGAAGCAGTTAGGGTGAACTGAGGATTTTGTATAGGATAATGATATGACGACTTTTATGATTAATTTGATGCACAAAATTAATTACTTCCACAAACCTAAGTTCACGTTGAAATTTTTTGGTAAAAAGTTCACCCTGCAATTTATAAGTAGTTCTATTTTCAAAGCTTAATATGTGCAGGTTGACTGCTCTTGCATACATTTTGCCTCAGTTGGCACTTATGACAATGAAATCAGAGTTTTGTTAATCTAACCCAACTTACAATGTGAGGAATCAGATAACATCTGATTGGAGGCTAATCTTATGCTTTCGAAGAAATTTTAAGTATTTCTTATTCGACTCTCTTTACCAACATAAGGTGGATTCATGTAGAGTCCAAATAGAATGCGCCTGGACACCTTGTTCGTCTAGTTCAAGGAAGATCACAGAAAGTTCTTTGATGTCTCGTCTAAATCTCTCTCTTGTTAAATGGTGAGGAGATTCCATTGAGAGTAATAAGTTGGCAATATGAATGATTCCTTCTGCAGGTATTTACTTCTCAAAAAGCTATTTTTGTACCAAGCATTTCGGCATATACCAAGGTTACTTCTGCTACCTCTACTATACCCTCATACACTCCTGGAAAGGATTTGTCATGGCAGTTTAACCTTCAGAGAATATGGGAGAGAATCATTCATGGCAAAGGTAATCTCTTCCCTGTTCCTTGGTAACTGGCTCGTCTTTATTTTCTCTTGCATGATTTGTGTCTGTTGAGCAATCTTAGGTGGCCTGCTTTTCTCCGGAGCAAGGTTATCTTCTGTCTTAAATAGCTAATTAGAGCAGACTGCATCTAAAACATACCCTTAAAAAGGAACGCTCTGCTTAAGGGTTATATACAGACTTTGGATGGAACAGGTTCTGTTAATTCTTGTTACTTCAATCTTTTGGTTGTCTTCATTCAAACAGGTTTAGTCTGCAGTAGCTGTTCAAAAAATATTTGCCTAAGCAGTGTATATCAGCTTCCCTTGAAATGTGAAAGCGAGACATGCATGTTCAGAAGGGATCAACTGTTTCAATTTGATACCATGCATTGTTTCTTGGTTAAGGATCCTCCTGAAATGGTTGCTTATATGCTAAAAGCTTTGGAGCGCTAATCCATCTAGAAACATCATGTATCTTCCTGTCTAATGCAGATGTTCTTGATCAGAATCACAAGATAAATGCCTCGGCAGGCTTGCCACCCCGTGAATTCCTTTATGAAGAAACGTCTCATTGCAGTCCAGAAGATAGATATTTTACTTCTAGTGCGGTTTTTTCCTTCATTACCATTGACAATAAATTGGTTAAGGGATTGTGTTAGAGAAAACCCTTCCCTTCGACTTCAGGTACATAGCACTACTGGGAATATCACATCCATTACAACTGTTTGACGTACATGATAAACGTGCTTGCATTAGTTTCTTGCTCTTAATGAAAGATGATATAACATCACAAATGCACACTTCGTTTGTGACAACCACCATGATAGCTAAAGCACTATCTACTTCTTGTTCCAGGTTCTTGTCACTGGTTCATTGCATCTTGTTGGCGATGTATTGAAACTACTAAGGAGGTAATGTAAATTTCCTCCCCCAAGTGGTTGGGGGTAGTTGATGGAGAACGTGATATCCTTGGAACATTTTTGAGAGTTTCTCATGCAACACAACCCAAGATTCTTTCCCTTGAACTAGAATTTTGTGTCATTGTTATTGTTATCGTTTTTGTTTCAATTTTCATTAATTTACGCAGACAACATTTCTTCTTGAAAATCGAAGTGGATGCCATTGATGAAGTTGCTCATCTGGCTCAATAATTTCACAGCTTATAGAGCTTTGTTATTCCATTGAAATCCTTTCAAGGTTTATTTCAGATTTGAGCAATCTTTTTTTCCCATGAAGCTGCTATTTTCTAGCTATACATAGTATTTTTTTTTAGTATAAGATGGCTTTGCTATAGCAAGTCTGATTGATAACAATAAAATTGTTACTAGTAGTACTTCTCATTAGAGTGGTGACTGGATCAGCTTATGCATACCTCGATTATTTTAGGAATATTTGCTACCTCTCAACAACACTAGTACACAATATCTATACCCGACAATGCTCGGACAGATGGGAAGAAATCAGCTACAGCTTTGTGTCTGCATAAAATCAAATTTATGCATTGTATTAGTAAAGTCATAAAACTATTTTGTCTCAATAATACTATGTGTTAATAAGTTGGAAAATTATCAGTTTGCATGAATATAACGTTTGAAAAGATTATATTGTATTATTTTGACGAATATAACGTTTGAATAGATTGTATCATTTTTTATCGTTACGTAATGTCACATATTAGCATGAAGGATAAACTTGCTACAAAAGTAAGGTTATGACATAAAAATCATATATATATATATATATATATATATATCATATTATATATATTATTATAAGTGGGAAGCTTCTAACTTCAAAGTTGGATTACCATTTTGCCCTTCTCTAAAAAAATCTCTTAATTTGAATTTATTTTTACAAAAAAAGAGGAGACAAAAAAGACCAAAAGTCATTACTTTTATTTAATAAAGAATCGTTCGTTTTCTGGGAATTCAATGACCTCCTAAGAGATAACCCCCCATAAGTTTTTTAGAATTGGGAGATTTCTTTATCTTCCACATTCAACTCTTTGTTTTCTTATTGTTGAGATTGAAAGATTTTTTTGTCTTATTACGTGTATTTTTTAAATTTTTTTAAAGGGCAACAAATATTCATATTTTATCAACAAAATTAATTACGAGACAATGCTGAAGAAAGATATCAGCTTAATCTTCTGGGCAACATGAAAACAAAATTTTAATTTAGGGAAGGTCAGCTCTAAAATGGCAAATATCATAAAGTCGGTTGTATTTTTCTAACCATGGATTGATTTATTATCTCTTTCTTTTTTTAATGTTCTATATGTGTGATTATTTATTGTTGTTTTATACAAGGTTTTTGGGATAATAGAATGTCAACTTAACTTTGCAACACCAATTAATTATATATTTTTTGCTTTATGCAGATTTTATACGGTTGAAGCAGTGAAAAGATATAATTTCTTTCTTTTCGGTTCGCATCTTAGGTAATTGTTCTATTCAATATTTTAGCACTTCTTATGGACTATCAAATTAATTTTTTCCTGTTTGCTTTTCTTTTTTTCTCAGTTTTTATTTATCAATTGTTTGTTCATTGCAAAAGTCTATTTTTCTCATTTTTTTTATTTATCAATTGTTTTTAACATTTCAAAATCTCGAAATATACTTACTAATGAATACCATTTTCAATAATATTATCTTTGGGATAAGGATATAATATTATACTTCATAATTCATTGTACTCAAGTCTCCAAAACATAATTTTTATTTTTATGTTATATTAATTTCTAAATTTTCATTTTTAGCATATATTATATTATTATTTTGAAACTGGAAGCCTTTTAAGTTGAAAAAATGAATTACCAAAATATCCATTATAAGTTGAAAGACATTTTTACTGATTAGTCATGAACTGTTTTTTCAATATTCAAGTTATACAAAATTGTAAGAAAACATTTCATAAAATATTACCATTAAATCATATCATATATATATATATATATATATATATATATATATATATATATATATATATATATATAAAGCTAGATAAAAAAGAAGTGATGTGGCACCTCTCAATGGCCTAGGATCTTATTTATTTTTTTTGAGTTTTTTCATTAATCAATTTATTAAATTAATTAAAAAAAACAATCATATTCATTACATATAATTATATCATATGAAAGTTACAAAAAAATCTCCACCTATTTGTATTCTCTAATTAAATAACATGTCTCTTCAACTTCCTTCTACTTAATTCTTATGATTTAAATCATCTATAAATAGCAATCATCTATGGTGTTGTTGCATGTTCATTTATATTTTCTCCAACTTCATATTGTTGGTATTATTTTTTTTGTTTTTCAGCTTTATGAAGATTATAGATATATTTTTTAAAATTCTTCTTGTGTTACTATAGACAAACAAAAGTTTATCAAGATGAAGAAGAAAGTTTGAAGCCGGTGTAAGATTCGTCAAAGGAGATGATCAAAAATTAATTTTCTACAAGTCATCAAAATGAAGAAGAAAGTTTAATGGCGTTGGAAGATTCATCAAGAGTTGGTCAAATTATAATTTGAAAAAGTACAAGTTTCAATAATTTACAAATACATAGATGCACTTATTGTTGCTTATATAATTTTTCAATTAATTATTTATTCATCAAGATATGTACCCTTCAAGAACAAGATTATATTACAAAGCACACGTTTTGTATCAAGGGCAACATTATCTTCAACTGACTATTTTGTTGCTTAAATTTTTTTTTTTTGATATTTTCATCATACAAACTTTTGTCTTTCGAAAATACTATCCATACTCTATTGATATATAACATGTTAATATGACATAATTTCTCGATCAAGATTCCATCATCTTTTGTTTAGTTTCATCCGCTTCTTTTCATTCTAATTTAGATGATATAATACATTTTTTTCTTTTGTGGAATTTGAATTGACCAGAAAAAGAGATGAGATCCCCTCCATTAAGTTTTTATTTCGTATTTGTTAACACTTGTGTAAAATCTATATATAATATAAAGCTAGATAAAAGAAAAGTGATGTGTCACCTCTCTTTGGCCAAGAATCCTATTTAACTTTTTTCTCATTTTTTTGACATTTTTCTTATTTTTTTCTTCTTCCTAATAGTATAATTAAAATGAATGTGTCAATTATTATTATTTCTTCATTTATTCATGTTTTTTAATATACCAACTTAATTGTCTTTATTTTCATTACTTTCATGACTTTTGGTGATCATAACTCTTAAATTATATTGATATTCATAATAATAATATTGAAAGGTGAATAGTTGATTAATTGAATTAAATGATTCTTGGAGCTATTAAAAATAAAAGAAATAGATAAACAAAGAGGTAATTTGACACATGTCTATGATTTTCCAGACCATTCATTTTTTTTCTCCTTTTTTTTCTCATTTCTTTCACATTCTATCTAATTTTCAACTTATTAAACTTAATTTTAAACATGCAAAATCCATTAGTAACACCTAAAATTTCAAAAGTTTTTATCTAATAAGTAACAACCCAAAAGAAACGTCATTTGCTACTATTAATAATTAATTAATATGCCATTGTTATATTGTAGGAAAACGAACAAAAAAAAAAAAAACACTTGACATTCCCCAAGAAAGCTATATAATGGAATTTGAGGAAGGTCTTACTTCACTCCACCAAATTAGAATTTGCATCATGTAGGTAAAAAGTGAGAAAACACCTTTCCTTCTCAATTTGTTTTTACATCTTACAAAATATATGCATTCTGAAGAGAAATATTAAAAATGATCATATGGTTTATCATTCTCCAAAGACACTATGATGATAGAACGGATTGCGGTGTTATTTACGGTGGAGATTGTAAGGAATACTTTTAATACTTATATTTATTATATTACTAGTAAATGGGCCCGCGCTTGGCGCGGTTAGTTTATTTTTCTTTAAAATTTATTAGAATAGAACCTTTCTTGTATTTTGATGCTATAGCATTTTTATATTAATCTATTTTCAAGAGTATAGAGGTTATTCAATTGTAGTTTACCATTTGTTTTATTAAAAGAAAAAGCAAAATTACAAATTATAACACTATTTTCTCCTAGTGTTTTAAATTAAAATGCAATCTTCAAAAATTCGAATTTCATCTGTAATATAGTTATGATGGTGTTTGGGAATTGAAGTTGTTTACGAACAAAACATTAAGGATCCTTGAAAAGGGTGAAAGAGAAGTAAGAGATAATGGGAAAAAAGTTCAAAAGAGTACTTTGGTGCGAGAGGATAGTCATTATAGTGTATCATACAATTGTAATTAATTGCTAGTTTTAGTTCTATCATTTGAGTTTCTATTTTTTTTTACTCCGGTTAATATTAACATTATTATGACAACAATAAAAAATCATATAAATTTCTAGGCTTGATCTCTTGGAGAAGAAAATATATCTTTGGAGAATGTTGTAAAGAAATGTATTCTGTAAAAAGTTATTTGTGAATCTGCAGTAGTTGGATTTACCTAGAGTCTGTACTAACAAATACTTATAACAATAACTTTACAGAAACATAAAGAACAAAGTTTAAAACATGTACTAAAAAACAACAATTAATATCATAAGCATAAATTAATGACTGTAAAAAAATATACCAGGATCTGTAACAATATAATAGAATGAAACAGAAAGGAAAAATTGAGCTCATTGAATGCACAATGTTTCCTTAAGGAAATCATTTCCCTCTAGTACCCGAGTTTTAAAGAAATATATCCTCTTAGGATGAAACAATTTTATTCACCGGTGTAATGATACAACAACAATAGCGTCAATTAGTCACTCAACATGAGCAAAGTACACAAATATTTAATTGTGCAAAAGAAGAAGAAGAAGAAGAAGTAGTTCAGAATCAAATATTTAATTGTGCAGAAGAAGAAGAAGTTCAGAATTTTCGTTGTTTCAAAATGAGAGGGAACCCCTCTATTTATAGACAATAAATGGTAGTGTGAACAAATGTTTATTGTGCCTTACCGGAAAGGTCACAACTCTTTGGAGAAATCACAACTCTTCGGAAAGGTCACAACCTTTTATAAAGGTTACAACCTTTCATAAAAGTCGCAACTCTTCATAAAAGTCACAACTTTTCATAAAGTCACAAC